GATGAGCCTGAGTTTGAGCGAATCTGAGTGTGAGCGAGTAAATATGTGTCTTCGTATGACCGGATCTGAATATGAGCGAGTCCGAATGTGATGACGAGGAGGAAGTGCTGATTAGTACGCCTGAGTGCCACCGTAGGGGTATAAACTTTCAAGCCGCCCAAGGACAGGCGCCCCCGGCAGCGAAAAAGTTTATGTTGTACCGTTCTTCGCTCGCTGATAAATGGTGACCCGCGGCATCGAGATGGCAGTATTGCAGATTTTGCTCCAGCCACGTCATATCCACGCACTTCCGTATCACTGAATGCCGAACACTCACGGAAGGCATTCCTTGGAGCAGCTGCAGCTCCAGCATTGTTTCTTCTTTTTCTCTGGATCCGAAGAACACTACAGCATGCGTCCTCCGAAAGGGCGTACGTGCCACATACCCATGTGTTATAATACCCCGCATGGTCACGCGAAGGTTGCCGTGGCAACTGACGAGTCGGAGGAAGGAGCATGGCCACTCGCCACTGCTTCTGCCAGACGAGTGTGTTTGGTACAGGACGCCGGTGGAGTCATCGCGTCCTTGTGGTCTTCTTCTCCAAGCAAGCCTCCGACGGCAAACCCTGACCGCCCTAAATGCTTCACATACAAATTCAAGTACATGATGCCACTCTCTGTGCGTCCATGGACGACTTTCAGCTCTACCTGGCCAACAGCAACCCATTGCGGAACCGTCGCAACGCTTTGCCGTACGCCGTAGTGATACCCTCCAACTTGCTTGGCCTCTGCCCAAGAGCCTGTAATGTTCAATTCTTGGAAATACATATCCGAACACCTTCCACCCAAGCGGCGCGCATCGGCCTGCACAAGAAGCAATGCGTCTTCAGCGCTCACTCCACGAGGGATGTTTATCAGAACATGTTTGCCCGCCTGCATTAGATCGAACCGCTCGCCGTAAACATTTTGAAGGTGGGGATCGCCGGTGGCAGCCACGCCTCCGGCAGCTCCGCCCGCCATAGGAGCTGCTGGAGGAAACGTTGGTTGTGGCGTCGGCCAACCCAATGGATACGTCGGGCTGGGCGTCGGGCTAGGCGTCGGGAAGGCCGTCGGGAAGGACGTCGGGAAAGCTGTTGGGTAGGGCGTCGGGAAGGCCGTCGGGTAGGGCGTCGGGAAGGCAGTCGGGTACGGCGTCGGGAAGGCCGTCGGGTAGGGCGTCGGGAAGGCAGTCGGGTACGGCGTCGGGAAGGCCGTCGGGTAGGGCGTCGGGAAGGCCGTCGGGTACGGTGTCGGGAAAGCCGTAGGGTACGGCGTCGGGTACGGCGTCGGGTTCGGCGTCGGGTTCGGCGTCGGGTTCGGCGTGGGGTACGGCGTCGGGTACGGCGTCGGATTCGGCGTCGGGTTCGGCGTCGGCTTCGGCGTCGGATACGGCGTCGGCCTCGGCGTCGGATACGGAGTCGGCCTCGGCGTCGGCCACGGCGTCGGCTTCGGCGTCGGCCACGGCGTCGGCCTCGGCGTCGGCCACCGCGTCGGCCACGGCGTCGGCCACGGCGTCGGCCTCGGCGTCGGCCACGGCGTCGGCCACGGCGTCGGCCACGGCGTCGGCCTCGGCGTCGGGTCGGGCCCTTTCGCCGCCAGAGCCCTGTCCAAGGACTGCTGATCATCCGCGTTCCGAGAGCCCCTGGAGCTCCTGTCCATCAGCACCTTGGCCGCCTGGGAGCTGCTGGGGCTGGCCACCCTGCAGAGGCCACACGTTGCAGGACAGGTCGCCTGCACAGTGCTGCCATACGCCGCATCTTCGCAATAAGGCTGCACCTCAGCACAACCTCCGATCTTAACGCCGATGCCGTTAGCCAGCGCAATAATTTGGGCGTCGTCATCTGCACACTGCGGCTTGGAACTCACATCGATCGAGGTCGCAGTGGGTACGCTGATGCTGAGGACGACTGCAAACGCGGACCACACGGTCCAAGGTGCCTTATGGACCGCCATCCCACGGCACAGAAAGGCAAGGACCCGCAAGCCGAATGTTTTCGCGTGTGTGTAATTATATTACGGGCAAAGTGGAGACTGCACCAAGTCTGCCTGAACCAGGATGCCTTGAGCCAAAATGGATACGGAAGCTGCAGCTGCAGCATGTGGAGCACCAGCTATCGCAAAAGAGGTTAGACGTAGTGGACGCAGAGGAAGAAACAATAACTTAGAACACAGGCTGCGGAGCTCCACGCGGATTTCCTGGACGCGCCGGGGACGCCGCCGTGGGGGGGGGGGCAGCGCCGATCCAAAACATCCGCGCGGAGCTCAAACAAATCGTATGTCTGTTAGCGGGCGATGAGCGGTATGAAAGGAACTGTTCCGCCGTCGAAACGCCTGCCCCAGGGCGGATGGAAAGTTTATACCCCGACGTGCCACTGCAGGAGCACAAATTGTTCAGCCGCCCTGGGGCAGGCGTCCCCGACGGCGGGAACGTGACACTTCGTCCCCTGACACCCACCGGTGGGGATAAGTGAGTAGACACATGCAAGAGGAAGGCAGTGGGAGTGGATTGGGCTTCCGCCTGCCCCCATGCAGTGGACGAACTATGGAATAACAATCGGTTACTGCAGCAGGAAAGCGCCCAAAGCATATTGGAATCAGGGCATCCAATTACTCGACACGGGGATCCCCATATGTGCATCTCAGACTCAAATCGCGTTTCGCTGAGGAGCTCTGTCTATGAGTAGCCCGGTGTGCGAGCATGTCCACATAGACGACAGGCGCGGCAATGACGACGACAGCGACGACTTTAGTGACGCCCTCCTCCTCCTCCTCCTCCTCCTCCTCCTCCTCCTCCTCCTCCTCTGGACAGATTTGAATAGAGGGAAGAGAAAAGGGGATTTCCTGCCGCCGTTCTCCCCGCGGCAACTCAAGCAAGCGCGCATGGCGTTTCTACCCCCGCTCTCTGGCGTGCCACTCGCGGCGCCTGCTGGCGCTTGGGGTGACCAAGTGCCACGCCAGCTATATCACGGTAACCACGTGTATGTGAAAAGTTGAGCGAGTGAATCTGAGCGTGGGTGATCTGAGCGTGAGCGAGTCGGAATGTGAGTGGATCCAAATACGATTGAGCCTGAGTGTGACAGTAAGTGAGAGTACGAAATGGGTCTGAGTATGAGCGAATATAAGTGCAAGCGAGTCTAGGTGCGAGTCCGTCTGAGTGTGAGTGAGTCGAGTGTGGATAAGTCTGGCTTTGGCTGTGATGAATGGAAATGTGAAGGAGCCGGGCTGCGAGGTGGTCGGAGTAACTATGAGTGAGTCTGAGGGCTGGTGAATCTGAGTGTCAATGAATATGAGTGTGAACTGGTCTCGGTGTGGATGAGCCTGAGTTTGAGCGAATCTGAGTGTGAGCGAGTAAATATGTGTCTTCGTATGACCGGATCTGAATATGAGCGAGTCTGAATGTGATGACGAGGAGGAAGTGCTGATTAGTACGCCTGGAGTGCCACGTAGGGTATAAAAAGCAGCCGGCCGCCAAAGGACAGGCGCCTCTTCCTGCGAAAAAAAGTTTGATGTTGTACGTTCTTCGCTCGCTGATAAATGGTGACCCGCGGCATCGAGATGGCAGTATTGCAGATTTTGCTCCAGCCACGTCATATCCACGCACTTCCGTATCGCTGAATGCCGAACACTCACGGAAGGCATTCCTTGGAGCAGCTGCAGCTCCAGCATTGTTTCTTCTTTTTTTCTGGATCCGAAGAACACTACAGCATGCGTTCTCCGAAAGGGCGTACGTGCCACATACCCATGTGTTATAATACTCCGCATGGTCACGCGAAGGTTGCCGTGGCAACTGACGAGTCGGAGGAAGGAGCCTGGCCACTCGCCACTGCTTCTGCCAGACGAGTGTGTTTGGTACAGGACGCCGGTGGAGTCATCGCGTCCTTGTGGTCTTCTTCCCCAAGCAAGCCTCCGACGGCAAACCCTGACCGCCCTAAATGCTTCACATACAAGTTCAAGTACATGATGCCACTCTCTGTGGTCATGGACGACTTTCAGCTCAACCTGACCGAGAGCAACCCATTGCGGAGTCTTCGTTACGCTTTGCTGCACGCTGTAGTGATACCCTCCAACTTGCTTAGCCTCTGCCCAAGAGCCTGTAATGTTCAGTTCTTGGAAGTACATATCCGAGCAACTTCCACCCACGCGGCGGGCATCGGCCTGCACACGAAGCAATGCGTCTTCAGCGCTCACACCACGAGGAATGTTTATCAGAACATGTTTGCCCGCCTGCATTAGATCGAATCGCTCGCCGTGAACGTTTTGAAGGTGGGGATCGCCAGTGGCAGCCACGCCTCCGCCAGCTCCGCCCGCCGTAGGACCTGCGGGAGGAAACGTTGGATGTGGCGTCGGCCAACTCAGAGGATACGTCGGGCTGGGTGTCGGGCTGGGCGTCGGGAAGGACGTCGGAAAGGCCGTCGGGTAGGGCGTCGGGAAAGCTGTTGGGTAAGGCGTCGGGAAGGCCATCGGGTAGGGCGTCGGGAAGGCGTCGGGTTACGGCGCGGAAGCAGTGCGGTAGGGGGTCAGGGAAGGAACGCGGGTACGGTGCGGGAAAGCCGTCGGGTCCGGCGTCGGGAAAAGCCGTATCGGGTACGGCGGCGGGAAAGCCGTAGGGTAAGGCGTCGTCGGGACGGCGTTCGGGTTCGGGGTTCGGGTTCGCGTCGGGTTCGGGAAGGCCGTGGGTTACGGCGTCGGGTACGGCGTCGGATCGGCGTCGGGTCGGCGTTCGGCTTGGCGTCGGATACGGCGCGGCCTCGGCGTCGGATACGGAGTCGGACTCGGCGTCGGCCACGGCGTCGGGCATTGGCGTCGGCCACGGCGTCGGCCACGGCGTCGGCCACGGCGTCGGCCTCGGCGTCGGCCACGGCGTCGGCCACGGCGTCGGCCACGGCGTCGGCCTCGGCGTCGGGTCGGGCCCTTTCGCCGCCAGAGCCCTGTCCAAGGACTGCTGATCATCCGCGTTCCGAGAGCCCTTGGAGCTCCGAGTCTCAGCACCTTGGCGTCGCCTGGGAGTGTGGGGGATGGGCACCTGCAGGAGGCCACACGTTTGAGGACGGTCGCCTAGCACAGTAGCCTGACCATTACGCCGCATCCTTAGCAAATAAGGGCTCTGCACCTCAGCACAACCTCGATCTACACGCCCGCCGATGCTAGTCAGCGCAATACTTTGGGCGTCGTCATCTTGCACACTGCGGCTTGAAGCTCACATCGATGAGGTGCAGTGGGTACGCTGAGCTGAGGCGACTGCAAACGCGCACGGATGGGTCCAAGTGCCTTATGGACCGCCATCCCACCGGCACAGAAAGGGCAAGGACCCGCCAAGCCGAATGTTTTCGCTTTGTGTGTAATTATATTACGGACAAAGTGGAGACTGCACAAAGTCTGCCTGAACCAGGATGCCTTGAGCCAAAATGGATACGGAAGCTGCAGCTGCAGCATGTGGAGCACCAGCTATCGCGAAAGAGGTTAGACGTAGTGGACGCAGAGGAAGAAACAATAACTTAGAACACAGGCTGCGGAGCTCCACGCGGATTTCCTGGACGCGCCGGGGACGCCGCCGTGGGGGGGGGGCCAGCGCCGATCCAAAACATCCGCGCGGAGCTCAAACAAATCGTATGTCTGTTAGCGGGCGATGAGCGATATGAAAGGAACTGTTCCGCCGTCGAAACGCCTGCCCCAGGGCGGATGGAAAGTTTATACCCCGACGCCGTCGTGCCACTGCAGGAGCACAAATTGTTCAGCCGCCCTGGGGCAGGCGTCCCCGACGGCGGGAACTTGACACTTCGTCCCCTGACACCCACCGGTGGGGATAAGTGAGTAGACACATGCAAGAGGAAGGCAGTGGGAGTGGATTGGGCTTCCGCCTGCCCCCATGCAGTGGACGAACTATGGAATAACAATCGGTTACTGCAGCAAGAATGCGCCCAAAGCATATTGGAATCAGGGCATCCAATTACTCGACACGGGGATCCCCATATGTGCATCTCAGACTCAAATCACGTTTCGCGGAGGAGCTCTGTCTATGAGTAGCCCGGTGTGCGAGCATGTCCACATAGACGACAGGCGCGGCAATGACGACGACAGCGACGACTTTAGTGACGCCCTCCTCCTCCTCCTCCTCCTCCTCCTCCTCCCTCCTCTTGAACAGATCTGAAGAGAGGGGAAGAGAAAAAGGGATTTCTCGCGCCTGTTCTCCGCCGGCCCCCACAAGCAAGCGCATCATTGCGTTTTACCCCCGCTCTCGGCGTCCACTCGCGGCGCCTCGCTGGAGCTTGGGGGACCTAAGTGCCACGCCAGCTATATTAACGGGAACCACACGTGTATGTGAAAAGTGAGCGAGCGAATCTGGCGTGGGTGATCTGAGCGGAGCGGTCGGATGTGTGAGGGATCCAAATCGATGGAGCTCGAGTGGCAGAAGTGAGAGGAGGCAATGGGTTGAGTAAGAGGAAATATAAGTGCAAAGCGAGTCTAGGTGCGAGTCCGTCTGAGTGTGAGTGAGTCGTGTGTGGATAAGTCTGGCTTTGGCTGTGATGAATGGAAATGTGAAGGAGCCGGGCTGCGAGGTGGTCGGAGTAACTATGAGTGCGTCTGAGGGCTGGTGAATCTGAGTGTCAATGAATATGAGTGTGAACTGGTCTCGGTGTGGATGAGCCTGAGTTTGAGTGAATCTGAGTGTGAGCGAGTAAATATGTGTCTTCGTATGACCGGATCTGAATATGAGCGAGTCTGAATGTGATGACGAGGAGGAAGTGCTGATTAGTACGCCTGAGTGCCACCGTAGGGGTATAAACTTTCCAGCCGCCCAGGGACAGGCGCCCCCGGCAGCGAAAAAGTTTATGTTGTACCGTTCTTCGCTCGCTGATAAATGGTGACCCGCGGCATCGAGATGGCAGTATTGCAGATTTTGCTCCAGCCACGTCATATCCACGCACTTCCGTATCGCTGAATGCCGAACACTCACGGAAGGCATTCCTTGGAGCAGCTGCAGCTCCAGCATTGTTTCTTCTTTTTCTCTGGATCCGAAGAACACTACAGCATGCGTTCTCAGAAAGGGCGTACGTGCCACATACCCATGTGTTATGATACTCCGCATGGTCACGCGAAGGTTGCCGTGGCAACTGACGAGTCGGAGGAAGGAGCCTGGCCACTCGCCACTGCTTCTGCCAGACGAGTGTGTTTGGTACAGGACGCCGGTGGAGTCATCGCGTCCTTGTGGTCTTCTTCCCCAAGCAAGCCTCCAACGGCAAACCCTGACCGCCCTAAATGCTTCACATACAAATTCAAGTACATGATGCCACTCTCTGTGCGTCCATGGACGACTTTCAGCTCTACCTGGCCAACAGCAACCCATTGCGGAACCGTCGCAACGCTTTGCCGTACGCCGTAGTGGTACCCTCCAACTTGCTTGGCCTCTGCCCAAGAGCCTGTAATGTTCAATTCTTGGAAATACATATCCGAACACCTGCCACCCAAGCGGCGCGCATCGGCCTGCACAAGAAGCAATGCGTCTTCAGCGCTCACTCCACGAGGGATGTTTATCAGAACATGTTTGCCCGCCTGCATTAGATCGAACCGCTCGCCGTAAACATTTTGAAGGTGGGGATCGCCGGTGGCAGCCACGCCTCCGGCAGCTCCGCCCGCCATAGGAGCTGCTGGAGGAAACGTTGGTTGTGGCGTCGGCCAACCCAATGGATACGTCGGGCTGGGCGTCGGGCTAGGCGTCGGGAAGGCCGTCGGGAAGGACGTCGGGAAAGCTGTTGGGTAGGGCGTCGGGAAAGCCGTCGGGTAGGGCGTCGGGAAGGCCGTCGGGTACGGCGTCGGGAAGGCCGTCGGGTAGGGCGTCGGGAAGGCCGTCGGGTACGGCGTCGGGAAAGCCGTCGGGTACGGCGTCGGGAAAGCCGTCGGGTACGGCGTCGGGAAAGCCGTAGGGTACGGCGTCGGGTACGGCGTCGGGTTCGGCGTCGGGTTCGGCGTCGGGTTCGGCGTGGGGTACGGCGTCGGGTACGGCGTCGGATTCGGCGTCGGGTTCGGCGTCGGCTTCGGCGTCGGATACGGCGTCGGCCTCGGCGTCGGATTTTTGGTATTTTTTTTTTGAAAAAACGGAGTCGGCTCGGGACCGAGCCACCGGCGTCGGTTAGGCGTCGGCGTCGGCACGCGTCGGCCTCGCGTCGGCCACGCGTCGGCCCGGCGGTCGCTCCACTGGCGTCGGCTCGGCGTCCGGCCACGGCGTCGGCCACGGCGTCGGCCATGGCGTCGGCCTCGGAGTGGGTTCGGTCCCTTCCCGTCCAGAGCTGTCCAAGGACGGCTGATATCCGCGCATTCCGACGAGCCCTGAGAGCTCCTGTCCATCAGCACCTTGGCGCCTGGAGATGCTGCGGGCTGTGCCACCTGCAGCGCCGCTCCTTTGAGGGACCAGGTCGCCTGCACAGTGCTGCATAAGCGCATCTTCGCAATAAGGCTGCACCTCAGCACAACCTCCGATCTTAACGCCGATGCCGTTAGCCAGCGCAATAATTTGGGCGTCGTCATCTGCACACTGCGGCTTGGAACTCACATCGATCGAGGTCGCAGTGGGTACGCTGATGCTGAGGACGACTGCAAACGCGGACCACACGGTCCAAGGTGCCTTATGGACCGCCATCCCACGGCACAGAAAGGCAAGGACCCGCAAGCCGAATGTTTTTGCGTGTGTAATTATATTACGGACAAAGTGGAAACTGCACCAAGTCTGCCTGAACCAGGATGCCTTGAGCCAAAATGGACAAGGAAGCTGCAGCTGCAGCATGTGGAGCACCAGCTATCGCAAAGGAGGTTAGACGTAGTGGACGCAGAGGAAGAAACAATAACTTAGAACACAGGCTGCGGAGCTCCACGCGGATTTCCTGGACGCGCCGGGGACGCCGCCGTGGGGGGGGGGGCAGCGCCGATCCAAAACATCCGCGCGGAGCTCAAACAAATCGTATGTCTGTTAGCGGGCGATGAGCGGTATGAAAGGAACTGTTCCGCCGTCGAAACGCCTGCCCCAGGGCGGATGGAAAGTTTATACCCCGACGTGCCACTGCAGGAGCACAAATTGTTCAGCCGCCCTGGGGCAGGCGTCCCCGACGGCGGGAACGTGACACTTATCGTCCCCTGACACCCACCGGTGGGGATAAGTGAGTAGACACATGCAAGAGGAAGGCAGTGGGAGTGGATTGGGCTTCCGCCTGCCCCCATGCAGTGGACGAACTATGGAATAACAATCGGCTACTGCAGCAGGAAAGCGCCCAAAGCATATTGGAATCAGGGCATCCAATTACTCGACACGGGGATCCCCATATGTGCATTTCGCTGAGGAGTTCTGTCTATGAGTAGCCCGGTGTGCGAGTATGTCCACATAGACGACAGGCGCGGCAATGACGACGACAGCGACGACTTTAGTGACGCCCTCCTCCTCCTCCTCCTCCTCCTCCTCCTCCTCCTCCTCCTTCCTCCGCCTCCTCCTCTCCTCTCTGGACAGATTTGAAGAGAGCGGAAGAGAAAAGGGATTCCCTGTTCGCAGTTCTCCCCGCGGGCAACCAAGCAAGCGCGCATGGCGCTTTACCCCCGCTCCTCTGGCGTGACATCGCGGGCGCCTGGCTGGCGCTTGGTACGGGACCAAGTGCCACGACAGTATATCACGGTAACCACGTGTATGTGAAAAGTTGAGCGAGAGAATCTGAGCGTGGGTGATCTGAGCGTGAGCGAGTCGGAATGTGAGTGGATCCAAATACGATTGAGCCTGAGTGTGACAGTAAGTGAGAGTACGAAATGGGTCTGAGTATGAGCGAATATAAGTGCAAGCGAGTCTAGGTGCGAGTCCGTCTGAGTGTGAGTGAGTCGAGTGTGGATAAGTCTGGCTTTGGCTGTGATGAATGGAAATGTGAAGGAGCCGGGCTGCGAGGTGGTCGGAGTAACTATGAGTGAGTCTGAGGGCTGGTGAATCTGAGTGTCAATGAATATGAGTGTGAACTGGTCTCGGCGTGGATGAGCCTAAGTTTGAGCGAATCTGAGTGTGAGCGAGTAAATATGTGTCTTCGTATGACCGGATCTGAATATGAGCGAGTCCGAATGTGATGACGAGGAGGAAGTGCTGATTAGTACGCCTGAGTGCCACCGTAGGGGTATAAACTTTCCAGCCGCCCAGGGACAGGCGCTCCCGGCAGCGAAAAAGTTTATGTTGTACCGTTCTTCGCTCGCTGATAAACGGTGACCCGCGGCATCGAGATGGCAGTATTGCAGATGTTGCTCCAGCCACGTCATATCCACGCACTTCCGTATCACTGAATGCCGAACACTCACGGAAGGCATTCCTTGGAGCAGCTGCAGCTGCAGCATTGTTTCTTCTTTTTCTCTGGATCCGAAGAACACTACAGCATGCGTCCTCCGAAGGGGCGTACGTGCCCACATAACCATGTGTCATATACTCCGCTAGAGTCACGCGAGGTTGCCGTGGCAATGACGAGTACGGAGGAAGGAGCCCTGGCCACTCGCCACTGACTTTCTGGGCCAGAAGAGTGTTGGTACAGGGACGCCGTTGGAGTCACATCGCGTCCTTGTGGTCTTCTTCCCCAAGCAAGCTCGACGGCAAACCCTGACCGCCTAAATAGCTCACATACAAATTCAAGTACATGATGCCATTCTGTGCGTCCATGGACGACTTTCCGAGTCGACTGGCCAACAAGCAACCCATTGCGGAACCGTCGCAACGCTGTGCCGTACGCCGTAGTGGTACCCTCCAACTTGCTTAGCCTCTGCCCAAGAGCCTGTAATGTTCAGTTCTTGGAAATACATTTCCGAACAACTTCCACCCAGGCGGCGCGCATCGGCCTGCACACGAAGCAATGCATCTTCAGCGCTCACTCCACGAGGGATGTTTATCAGAACATGTTTGCCCGCCTGCATTAAATCGAACCGCTCGCCGTGAACATTCTGAAGGTGGGGATCGCCGGTGGCAGCCACGCCTCCGGCAGCTCCACCCGCCATAGGAGCTGCGGGAAGAAACGTTGGTTGTGGCGTCGGCCAACCCAAAGGATATGTCGGGCTGGGCGTCGGGCTAGGGGTCGGGAACGGCGTCGGGAAGGCCGTCGGGTAGAGCGTCGGGAAAGCTGTTGGGTAGGGCGTCGGGAAGGCTGTCGGGTACGGCGTCGGGAAGGCCGTCGGGTACGGCGTCGGGAAGGCCGTGGGGTACGGCGTCGGGAAGGCCGTGGGGTACGGCGTCGGGTACGACGTCGGGTACGGCGTCGGGAAGGCCGTGGGGTACGGCGTCGGGTACGGCGTCGGGTTCGGCGTCGGGTTCGGCGTCGGGTACGGCGTCGGGTTCGGCGTCGGGTTCGGCGTGGGCTTCGGCGTCGGGTATGGCGTCGGGTTCGGCGTCGGGTTCGGCGTCGGGTACGGCGTCGGGTTCGGCGTCGGCCTCGGGTCGGATACGGAGTCGGCCTCGCGTCGGCCCGGTTTCGCTTGGGCGTCGGCCACGGCGTCGGCCCGGCGTCGACCACCCGCGTCGGCACGGCGTCGGCCACGGCGTCGGCCTCGGCGTCGGGTACCGTGTCGGCCACGGCGTCGGCCACGGCGTCGGCCTCGGTGTCGGGTCGGGCCCTTTCGCCGCCAGAGACCTGTCCAAAGACTGCTGATCATCCGCGACCTGGGAACCCTGGAAGCTCCTGTCCATCAGCACCTTCGCCGCCTGGGAACTGCTGGGGCTGGCCACCCTGCAGAGGCCACACGTTGCAGGGCAGGTCGCCTGCACAGTGCTGCCATACGCCGCATCTTCGCAATAAGGCTGCACCTCAGCACAAACCGGATTCCCGAAACGCGATCCCGAGTTAGCCCGCGCAATAATTTGGGACGTCGTCATTGCACACTGCGGCTTGGAAACTCACACGATCGAGGTTGCAGTGGGTCGTGATCTGAGGACGACTGCCAAACGCGGACCCCACACGGTCCCAAGGTGCCTTATGGACCGCCATCCCACGGCACAGAAAGGCAAGGACCCGCAAGCCGAATGTTTTCGCGTGTGTGTAATTATATTACGGACAAAGTGGAGACTGCACCAAGTCTGCCTGAACCAGGATGCCTTGAGCCAAAATGGATACGGAAGCTGCAGCTGCAGCATGTGGAGCACCAGCTATCGCAAAAGAGGTTAGACGTAGTGGACGCAGAGGAAGAAACAATAACTTAGAACACAGGCTGCGGAGCGCCCACGCGGATTATGGACGCGCCAGGGGACGCCGCCGGGGGGGGGGCGGCCCCGCCGCCGATCAAAAACATGCGCGGTGGTCAAACAAATCGTCATTGTCTGTTAGCGGGTGATGAGCCCGGTATGAAAAGGAAACTGTTGTCCGCCGTCGAAACGCTGACCCCAAGGGCGGATGGAAAGTTTATTCCCCGACGTGCCACTGTAGACGTGCCACTGCAGGAGCACAAATTGTTCATGCCGCCCTGGGCAGGCGTCCCCGACGGCGGGCAACGTGACAACTTCGTCCCTGACACCCACCGGTGGGGATAAGTGAGTAGACACATGCAAGAGGAAGGCAGTGGGAGTGGATTGGGCTTCCGCCTGCCCCCATGCAGTGGACGAACTATGGAATAGCAATCGGTTACTGCAGCAGGAATGCGCCCAAAGCATATTGGAATCAGGGCATCCAATTACTCGACACGGGGATCCCCATATGTGCATCTCAGACTCAAATCGCGCTTCGCTGAGGAGCTCTGTCTATGAGTAGCCCGGTGTGCGAGCATGTCCACATAGACGACAGGCGCGGCAATGACGACGACAGCGACGACTTTAGTGACGCCCTCCTCCTCCTCCTCCTCCTCCTCCTCCTCCTCCTCTGGACAGATTTGAAGAGAGGGAAGAGAAAAGGGGATTTCCTGTCGCCGTTCTCCCCGCGGCAACTCAAGCAAGCGCGCATGGCGTTTCTACCCCCGCTCTCTGGCGTGCCACTCGCGGCGCCTGCTGGCGCTTGGGGTGACCAAGTGCCACGCCAGCTATATCACGGTAACCACGTGTATGTGAAAAGTTGAGCGAGTGGATCTGAGCGTGGGTGATCTGAGCGTGAGCGAGTCGGAATGTGAGTGGATCCAAATACGATTGAGCCTGAGTGTGACAGTAAGTGAGAGTACGAAATGGGTCTGAGTATGAGCGAATATAAGTGCAAGCGAGTCTAGGTGCGAGTCCGTCTGAGTGTGAGTGAGTCGAGTGTGGATAAGTCTGGCTTTGGCTGTGATGAATGGAAATGTGCAGGAGCCGGGCTGCAAGGTGGTCGGAGTAACTATGAGTGAGTCTGAGGGCTGGTGAATCTGAGTGTCAATGAATATGAGTGTGAACTGGTCTCGGCGTGGATGAGCCTGAGTTTGAGCGAATCTGATCGTGAGCGAGTAAATATGTGTCTTCGTATGACCGGATCTGAATATGAGCGAGTCCGAATGTGATGACGAGGAGGAAGTGCTGATTAGTACGCCTGAGTGCGGATGAGTGCGTCCGAGTGGGGAAAGGGGGAAGGAGATGACCGAGTGAGTGAATAAGGAGCACACAAATCCATAGAAAAGTGTGGGGGGGCAGAGACAAGCAAACCGCCTGAGAAGTCCTCCCCAATCTGACCGCGAATCCTGAAGTGTCCCCACCCCTAGCGGCCCCTTTCTTGGGGTGCCCAAGCGCCACGCCTGCTACATCGCGATGAGCAGTGGACCACCAGCAATGAAAGTCAGGGGGGGCAGAAACGAGCAATCCGCCTGAGACATCCCCACTGACTGGACGCGAACCATGGAAGGTCCCCATCCCTGGCGGCTCTCCCTCGGGGTGCCCAAAAACCACGCCTGCAGTATCGCGGTGATCACTGGACCACAGAATGAAACATTCCGCCAGCGGACAGGAACAGGCAACCTGCCGGCGACATCCCCACAATCTGGACGCGAACCCTGGTGTGCCTCCCTTGGGGGGCCCAAATGCACGTCTGCAATATCGCGGTGCGTGTTGGACCACCACAAGAGATAGGGAGAGAGAGAGAGAGAGAGACAAGCCTGGGGGCAGAAACAGGCACACTGCACGAGGCATCCTCACAATCTGCTTTGATAATCCCAGTGCGACCCTACCTAGGAGTTGGAGCCAGTAGGAAAGCAGCATTAGTAGCAACAGTAAAGCTAAGCTAAAGCTAAGCTAAAGCTAAGCTAATGCTAAGCTAAAGCTAAGCGAAAGCTAAGCTGAAGCTAAGCTAAATCTAAGCTGAAGCTAAGCTGAAGCTAAGCTAAAGCTAAGCTAAAGCTAAGCTAAAGCTAAGCTAAAGCTAAGCTAAAGATAAGCTAAAGCTAAGTTAAAGCTAAGGTGAAGCGAAGCTAAAGCGAAGCTAAAGCTAAGCTAAAGCTAAGATAAAGCTAAGTTAAAGCTAAGCTAAAGCTAAGCTAAAGCTAAGCTAAAGCTAAGCTAAAGCTAAGCTAAAGCTAAGCTAAAGCTAAGCTGAGGCTAAGCTAAAGCTAAGCTAAAGCTAAAGCTAAAGCTCCCAAGGGACTGGGGAACCGCTCCCACGGGACTGGGGGAACCGCCAGGGGCGGGTTGCACTGCCCGGCCCCTTTAAGCTACAGAGTAAGAACCCTTCTAGGCAGAGCATAGGTAGGGAATTATCCCAGTGCGACCCTGCCTAGGAGTTTGAGCTCCTAGGAAAGCAGCATTAGTAGTAACAGTAAGGCTAAGCTAAAGCTAAGCTAAAGCTAAGCTAAAGCTGAGCTAAAGCTAAGCGAAAGCTTAGCGAAAGCTAAGCTAAAGCTAAGCTAAAGCTAAGCTAAAGCTAAGCTAAAGCTAAGCTAAAGCTAAGCTAAAGCTAAACTAAAGCTAAGCTAAAGCTAAGCTAAGCTAAAGCTAAGCTAACGCTAAGCTAACGCTAAGCCAAAGCTAAGCTAAAGCTTAAGCTAAAGCTTGAGGTAAAGCTAAGATACAGCTAAGATACAGCTAAGCTAAAGCTAAGCTAAAGCTAAGCTAATCTAAGCTAAAGCTAAGCTAAAGTTAAGCTAAAGCTAAGCTAAATCTAAAGCTAAGCTAAAGCTAAAGCTCCCAGGGGACTGGGGGAACCGCGGGGCGGGGACTGGGGGAACCGCCCGGGGCGAGTAAGAACCCTCTAGGCAAAGCCTAGGTAGGGAAAAACAACAAGTGTTGGGCACGCAAGCAGGCAAACCGCCTGAGACATGCCCACAATCTGGCCAAGAATCTTTCAGCGTCCCCACCCCTGGCTCCCCCGCTGAAAAGTGCTGAAACTAGCGCTTCGCCTGAGACATCCTTAGAATATGCTTCGGAAGCAAAGGGTGTTGGGCACGCAAACAAGCAAGCCGCCCGAATCATGGAGTGTCCCCACCCCTGGCGCCCCCTTCCTTGGGGTGCCCAAGCGCCACATGTGCTACCTCGCGGTGGGCATTGGACCAGCATGAGTAAGTCTGAGTCTGAGTATGACGGGCGTATTAGTGTGAGCTAGTCTGAAAGTGACTGCGTCCGAGAGTGAGCGCGTCGAAGTGTGAGTGAGCCTGAATGCGAGTGAGTCTGAGTGTGCTGAGTGAGAGTCTGATTGCGTCCGAGTGCGAGTGAGTCTGATCGTGAATGAGTCTTAGTGTGAGTGCGTCCGAGTATGAGCACTTCTGAGTGTGAGTGAGTCTCAGTGTGAGTGAGTCTGAGTATGACTGAGTATGTATGAACCTGGGTGTGAGCGGTTCACTCTGGCTGAGAAAGAGGGGGAAGCGCAGGAGGTGAGGAGGAGGGTTTGTTCTCGGAGCCGTCTAAACAATTCCACATCCCTCCACGAAACTTCACGCAAGTTGTCCTGCGCTGCGCTGGCCCCCCCCACACCCCCAAATGTCAATGTTGATGCCGAAACACGTGACTTCAAATTCTACCCGACGGCGTCCGCGCACCGCGCCGCACGCGCAATTGAACATTGAAATTGGGGGCGAGGGGGGGGTCGGCAAAACTTGCGTTAAGTTTCGCGGATGGTTGACGGCGGCGGCAACGTCCACGACGACGCCAGGGGGGTCGGCAAAACTTGCGTGGCGGATGGCTGCAGTAACGCCATCTTAGGCAACAGGGGAAAGCCATACTTATTTCCTCCGAGCTGTGTTCTCCGCGTCCGGGCCCGCCCCTTCGCCCCGCCGGTCCTGACAAGAGGCAGCCGTCTTGACCAGCCGGTGGAAGAGAAGGCACAGCCGCCACTCCCTGGCCCTCTTCTGTAGAGAGCAGAGAATCCGCCCTCATGACAATCACCCTGACGCGCGAAGCCGCTTAGCAAGCGCAGCCGAAAAGGGAGTCGAGAAGGGCAAGGCTGTTCAGTAAGCGCCCAAAGCCGTTCAGCAAACGCCAATCATCGGGTCCGGGTGGTTCTTCCTCCCTTGACTCTGCGGTAAGCTCTGGCCAGGGCCTTGGGGCGAATCCAGACGTGGCGATCGAGGGGCGCGTGGCGGTAGCTCGGCACCGCGTCCTCTGGCCAGCTGGCCGCGGGGGGGCCAGGCCACTCGCCCCGCGCTGGAGGCGGCCAGGGGTCCTGAACTGGCTGAGGGGAGGAGGAGGAGGAGGAGGAGGAGGAGGAGGAGGAGGAGGGAGGAGGAGGAAGCAGAGAAGTGGGAGGAGGAGGAGGAGGAGGAGGAGTGAGGAGGAGGAAGTGGAGAGGAAGGTGGGGAGGAGCATGTGGGAGGAGGAGGACGGGAGGAGGAGGAGGTGAGGAGGAGGAGGTGGAGGAGGAGGAGAGAGGAGGAGGAGGAGGAGGAGGAGGAGGAGGAGGAGCAGGACGAAGGAGAGGAGGGGAGGAGGAGGTGGGAGGAGGCAAGGAGGAGGAGGAGAGGTAGGAGGAGGAGGAGGGGAGGAGGAGGAGGGAGGAGGAGGAAGCGGGAGGGAAGTGGGGAGGAGGAGGAGGAGGAGGAGGAGGAGGAGGAAGTACGAAGGAGGAGGAGGAGGAAGAGGAGGGAAGCAGGAGGAGGAGGAGGAGACGAATGGGCAGGGGTGCCGAGCGGCGGCCCCCGTCGGCCCGACCGGCCCAGGGCCTCTTCGGGGGGCGGGAGGAGGGGCCCCCCCCTCGTTCCGTGCCTGACGGCTGCTGCCGCCTCTCGACTCGGGCTGGGACCTCCGCCTCCTCCTCCTCCTTCCTCCTCTCTCCTCCTCCTACTCCTCCGCCTCCTCCTGGGCTGGGACCCCAGATTTGAAGGGGCCCTGGGACAAACACACACAAATAAAGACCACCCAAAAATAAAAGGATTCCCCATATTCTCCATATGTTCGGGTTTCGCCTTCCCACCCACTAGCCCATCATTTTTCCATATTTTATGGGAAATGAACGACTAATATGTGTCTGTGTGTTTTTCTCCTCCTGAAGATTGGCGGCGCGCAGGGGGGGTGGAGCCACAAAGGGGGTGGAGGGAGGGGGGAGGGCTTCTGGAAAGGAGGCTGCTCTTCTTGGAGGGCGCTGGCCATGTATCTACAGACAAGGCTCGCGCTCTCTAAGAAGCAGGGGTGATTCTGAGAAGCCCTCCCCCCTCCCCCAACCCCCCTCTGCGCGTGGCTGAACCCCAGAGAGAATGTCCGATCCGGTCAAGATCGCTCCCCGGACCCCTCTAGAGGTCCATCTGGTGCCGTGCTTCACCCCGGATCCGTTTTTGACTGTCCCGGGGCCCGCGATGAGCCCTGGAGAAAGTGAAAGACAGCAAAGCCTCCTCAGAGCCAGAACCTCGATCGCCCCTGTTCGCTGGGACCAATGCCCAGGCGCGTACGAGGGGGTAAAAAGGAGCCTGCCTCTTAGAAGGCCCCGGCCCTGCATCTACAGAGGTGGTCTCCCCGCGCCTTCTCAGAAACAGGGGTGCTTCTAAGAAGCCTTCCCCCCTCCCCCACACCCCCCTCTGGGGAAATGAAAAGTTACCGATACCGCTGCTCCCCCAGACTTCTCCCGGGGTGCGTTCTGACCAGAACTCCCGGGCGACTCCCACGGTGGCGACGGGAGCCTCTCTGGGAGAGCGAAGAAGGGGAAGAACACGGGCGCCGGGTGAGCGGCGTGGGTATCTTTACCCTCTCCTCCTCCTCGGACCCCCCGCGCGTGGCCGACGCACCCTGCGGGTCCTCACCGTTGCCCAGCTGGACTGCCCGGCGTCGTTCGCGGCAGCGACCTGGCGGCGGGGAGCGGCGCGCGCGGGCGGTGCGGGGGCGCGGCCTGCTCCCTCGGGCCGGCCGCCGCACTGGCCCCTTCCGGCAGGAGGCCTCCTGCCGGCGAGCCGAGGTGCGAGGTCTCGAGGTCGGCTCGGGGAGGGGCACAGCGAGCTGCTCGGTAAGCGCTGGGGGGGGGGAGGCCCCGCGACGGGGGTCAATCTCGCCTCGTCGTCGCGCCGCGACGGGGGTCGGGGCGCCTTCGGCGCGCGGTGGCTGCCCGCGGCGGGAGTCGTTGTGAGGCTGTCGGTGGGGGCGACGCCCCCCCCACGCTTATTCAGAAACTCGGAATAGGGGGGGGGAAAATCGACCCGAAATCGGCGATACGTCGCCAACAGATCGGCGGTGGGCTCGCGACGGTGAATCCGCAAGTTTCTGGGCAGGTTGGGGCTATCCAGCCCCTATCGGCGATCAATGGCGTGAGGTCGACGCATCCCCTCCATATGGTTAAGTCGGGCCTGTCCCCCTACAGGGGGATTTTCGACGAAAAATCCGCCGACCCCTTGGGGATCATCGGCGTGTGAGATGCTTCCCCCTCCCCAAACCCCTCCCCCGGGAGCCCGGTCCGGTCGATTTGGAGGGGGGGGGGGGTCCGGGACGAGCGCTCCACGGGGCTTTTCCTGGCCCAAGAGGGCTTCAAGACGGGCCACGAAGCCCCCAAGAGGCCTCCAAGACGGCCCACGATGGCTCCGAGAAGCCAAACGACCGCTCCAAGACGCCCACGATGGCCCCAAGACGGGCCAAGAGGTCTCCAAGACGGCCCCTGAGGTCCCAAATGAGCCTCCCCAGAGGGCCCAAAGAGTCAAAAATTGCTGATTTTCCAGAGTGTTTTTCGATGTTTTTTGCTTTTCCGCCTTTCCGGCTTCCCGACGCTCCAAGACGGGCAAAGAGGCCCCAAAGATAGCCCCAAGATGGCCCAAGAGGCCCCCAAGACGGCCTCCAGACGGCCCAAGACGGCCCCAAAACGGCCCAAGAGGTCCCCAAGACGGCCCAAGAGGGCCGATTTGGAGGGGGGGAGGGGGCCGGGACGAGCGCAGCACGGCCGGGACGAGCGGTTCCAGGGCTTTTCCGGGCCCACGAGGGCCTCAAGACGGGCCAAGAAGGCTCCAAGAGGCCTCCAAGACGGCCCACGCAAGCTCCGAGACGCCAAACGACCCCTCCAAGACGCCCAAGATGGCCCCAAGACGGGCCAAGAGGTCTCCAAGGCGGCCCCCGAGGTCCCATACAAATCTCCCAAGAAGGCCCCAAGAGTCTAAAACTGTTGATTTTCCATCGTGTTCTTCGACGTTTTTTGCTTTTCCGCCTTTCCGGCTTCCCAACGCTCCAAGACGCGCGACGAGGCCCCAAAGATAGCCCCAAGATGGCCCAAGAGGCCCCCAAGACGGCCTACAGACGGCCCATGACGGCCCCAAGACGGCCCAAGAGGTCCTCAAGACGGCCCAAGAGGGCCGATTTGGAGGCGGGGAGGGGGCCAGGACGAGCGCAGCACGGCCGGGACGAGCGGTTCCAGGGCTTTTCCGGGCCCAAGAGGGCCTCAAGACGGGCCAAGAAGCCCCCAAGAGGCCTCCAATACGGCCCACGAAGGCCCCGAGACGCCAAACGACCGCTCCAAGACGCCCAAGATGGCCCCAAGACGGGCCAAGAGGTCTCCAAGACGGCCCCCGAGGTCCCAAACACAACCTCCCAAGAGGGCCCCAAGAGTCTAAAATTGTTGATTTTCCATAGTGTTTTTCGATGTGTTTTGCTTTTCCGCCTTTTCGGCTTCCCGACGCTCCAAGACGGCCAAAGAGGCCCCAAAGACAGCCCCAAGATGGCCCAAGAGGCCCCCAAGACGGCCTTCAGACGGCCCAAGACGGGCCCAACACGGCCCAAGAGGTCCCCAAGACGGCCCAAGAGGGCTCCAAGACGGCACCACGAGGGGCCCAAGAGGGCGACCAAACATGTTGAAACTCTAGCTTTCTGCCCCAGGAGCCCCAGGGGGCCCCAAGAGTGCCCCAAGAGGCCCCCAGAGGCCCTCACGAGGCCGCCCAGACGCCCCAAGGAACCCCCAAGAAGCACCCCAGAGGCTCCGAAACGGCCCCCGAGTGGCTCCAAACCTCGCAGTGTCGCTGTCCGCTCGGACCTCCCCGCGGAACTGCCCGAGACCCTCTGGCGGTGGCGGCGAACAGACACCAAACAAATATCACTCGCCTTTTCACCCCTTCGCAGCTTCTACTACCCCCAGATTGGCATAAACAAGAGGTCGGCGGTGTGGCGTAAGCCTAAGAATCTAAAAAATACCCCCAAAGTAATCAAGAAATTATCCAAAAATAGTCGGGGGACTATTTTTGGAGTATGTTTTGCCCTTTGGGGGGTTTTTGAAGGGTATTTTGAATTTTTCGTCGAAAATCCCCCTGTAGGGGGACAAGCCCGACCTAACCATACGGCTATCCCCCCGTCGTTGCCCCCGATCCTCGTGCTCTCCGTGTTTTTGTTGGATGTTCTCGTGCATCCCGGTGGGCGCTTTTTGGGGTTTCCTCCCCAGGGTTGGCGCTCGTTGCCCAGGCAGGGTCCCCCCCGGGTACAGTCGGACCGAGGTATGGGAGTATGGGATCGAGGTCGGTTCGGGGAGGGTACCCTGGTGCTCTTCGCGTTTTCGTTGGATGTTCTCGTGCATCCTGGGGAGGGTGCCCTTGGATGCTCTGTCTGTTTTGGCCAGCGGAGGGTCTCGTGTCCTTGAGGGATGTGTTCTTGGCCTAGGTCCGGCTGTAGATGGGAACCACGGCGATGGGGTCGGAGGATCGCCGCCGCATCGCCGATGCATCGCCGATGCATCGCCGATGCATCGGCGCCATCGGCACTGGCTCCACACCGACCCGAAACGCCGATGCGCATCTGCGATGCGGCGCGATCCTCCGACCCATCTGCTCGGACCCGATTTGGGAGGCCTAGACTCTCGCAGGTCGGCCGCTGCTCTTACCCTGAAATTCGGGCTGTTGCAACTTTTTCAGACCTGGCGTTTCCGCCGGGCCCCGGGGCCATCACAGATCGAGCCGGCTCGAATAGCGCCGCGGAGAGATGGGGTCTGCATGGCTCCGATCGTGACGTGTCACGAGTCTGCTATTTTTTCTGCGATGTCGGATCTCAGCTCAGGGTTGGCCCATAGCCCCAAGCAGGACCGCAGGAGAGCGTCAGCCACACACCCGCACTGGCCAATCCGTGGCAGAGAGCCCCAAGCAGGGCCGCAGGAGAGCGTCAGCCACACACCCGCACCAATCCAGCGGCAGGTCGGGTGCTCGCCAACGGGGAGGGGGCAGTCCTCCTCCTCCTCCTCCTCCTCCTCCGCCTCCTCCTCCTCCCCTCCTCCCCTCCTCCTCCGTCCTCCTCCTCCTCCTCCTCCTACCTCCTCTCCTCCTCCTCCTCCTCCTCCTCCTCCTCCGTCCTCCCACCTCTCCTCCGCCTCCTCCTCCTAACCTCCTCCTCCTCCTCCACCTTCCTTCCTCCTCCCCTTCTACCTCCTCCTCTCCTCCTCCTCCTCCTCCTCCCCCCTCCGTAGCCATTTTGGCTCAAGGCTGATGCACTTGGGGGCTCCGCGCCTCCGTGCCAAACTGGGATAGCTCTGTTTCCCGAGCCAGTCTGAAGTGATTTTGTGAGCTCCTGTTGGAGCATACTTTGTGAGCTCCTGCTGGAGCGGATGGTCAAGTATGGCAAGCAGGGCTTCTCCGTTTGCGTGCAGTGTGGCAACTGGGCGTGGAACTGGAGGCTCAAGAAGCAGAAAGGGGTGTGCACGGTATGCAACACCCCCCAGCCTGGCTGGAGTACGACGACGAGCGGCACGTGGTGGGCGCCGTGGTCCTCGGGCGGTGGGTGGCACGACCATGCGAAGTCCCTGCCGTCTCTCGCCAACTTCGGGGACTACCTGTCGAAGGCTCTCGCTGGTGCAGGGCTCGATGGGGACCCAGATGCTGCGCGCCTGGCGACGGAGTTCAGCACCCTGGCGTCCCAGAAGCTGGCGGCGGTCCCTGCGCCGCCGCCCAAGCCCCAGCACGCGCTGCTCAAGGAGGCCACGGCGGATTGCTCCCGCAAGCAGGAGGCCCTGGAGAAGGCCGCCACGAAGCTGGAGCAGTCCCGCCTCCAGCTCGAGAGGGACCAGGCCAAGTTCGACGAGGCGGCGGACGCTGTCTTGGCTGCCGATCTGTATCGCTTGGAGGTGCAGGAGGCGGCGAACCCGCCCGAGGCGGCCACCAAGCAGTCGGGCTTCGTCCTGGACCCTGGGCTGTTCGAGTGCCTCGAGGAGCTGGAGGAGTCCGACAGGAAGGCGCTGGAGGAGTTCCAGAAGCAGCTGGAGGAGGTCACCCAGCTGGTCGACGCCAAGCAGAAGGAGTTCCAGGATCTGCTGGAGCGTACGAGGTCGGCGCACACGGCGGCGGCGGCCAAGCGGCGCAAGCGCGGCGCCGACGGCGAGGCGGTGGCTGGCGGCAGCGCCGAGGGCGCGCCAGCGGCTGGCTCAGGTGCCGCTGCGGCGCCTGGCGCCGCGGCCGCCGCTGCTGGGCCCAGCAAGGCGAAGGTCGTGGTGCAGGAGAGCGACCAGAAGGCCATGCTGGAGCGCATCAAGAGCGGCGCCCAGTCTCAGGCGCGCGCGGCCGCGGACTGCAAGGCTGCTGGCGCTGGCAAAGGCGGCAAGGCGGGTGCTGGCAAGGGCGCTGCTGCTGCTGGTGCTGGTGCAGGCCGTGTTTAGCATCACTTGCTCCCCGCCCTGCAGGGGGGAAGCTGCAGGAGTACCTCATTCAGAGTCTGATGACGACAAGTCGTTGGACATCTTCTTCGGCAACATTACGGAGTGGGGCCCACAGGCTGCACGTTTCATTGCTCAGGAGCAGGAGCGCAGCATTGTGGCCCTCGTTGAGACGCACAAAGGTGAAAAGGACATGCCAGACATCTGCCAGGCGATCGACAAGGACGGCTGGCGGCTGGCTTACACGGC